GTTGGTTTCTCACATTGTCTTATTGAGGGTTGAACCGAGTCTACAGTTAGGTCACGTAAGGGAGAAGAAAGTCAAATGGAATATTCCATGATAAATCACCATCTCTGCTACCATGGACACTTTACTCATGGTTCCATACAGCAAAACCACATGTGGCTGAGGGAGGAGGGTGCCAACACCCACAGAACCAGACCTCATTCATCTTTCCTTAGAAACACTTTCCTATGAGTTGCCTGTTTATTTAGCATTACCACAGATATATTCAGGATCTGTGCAAAAACACAGGTAATTTTATAAATCTTTTTCTCTCCACTAAAATAAAGGGGTATGATAATTGCAGTCACCTGAAATCAGGATTATAATTCTACAAAAGTGAATGTAAGTGATGTTTTATCAGAATCTCAGCTTCTAACTTTGAACAGTGAAAGTTTCTTTTGATTCATATCCTCAAAACTAATCATGATTTTTAGGTAAAATTCTGGATTACTTAACTTAATGACATCCCCCAACATTTGTATCATAAACTATAGCAAAGGGACTTCATTATGACATTTTCATGCATGTATATAATGTCTTTTGTCATATCTATCTGCTCTATTAACCTTTCATGTACTCCATCTCCTCTCTACTTCCCCTTCCATATCCCTATTAGTCTCCCTTTACATAAATGTCTGTATTGTTCTTTATTCAAACCTAGAGTCACTGGACAAACTCATTTGGATAATCAGTAGATCATTGATGAAATCATGGGAATGTTAAAAATTCCACGAATTAAAAGAAGAGATAATTAAAAGGAACCCTTGGATTATTGCAAGTGTAGTTTTAAGAGGGAAGTTTATAGTAATGAGTGCCTACATTAAAAAAAAAATTAGAGAGAGTAGAAACAATGTACCTTACAATGAACTTTAAGATATTTGAAGAACAGTAATAAATCAACCACAAGATTATGTTGACAAAAAGAAATTGCAAAGATTGAGGATTAAGTTCATGAACTATGTACAAGTATAACACTACATAAGATTAATTAAATAAAGTGTTGGTACTTTGAAAAGATAAATAAAATTGACAATCTCTTAGTCCACTAACTAAAAGACACAAAGAGAAGACCAAAATAAACAGAGAGCAGTTTTTGGAATTTTTCCCTAAAAGTTCCATCAACAGATAGTAGCATATTTCATGCTTTCTTTATATCATGGCATAGCCTTATCATTCATCTTAGTCTTATTTGATCTAATGAACTCCACTGTAAAGGTGTTGATCAAAAATATCAGATGGATCCATTATCACAGAATACAAACAACAAACAAGGAAGAATGAGGTGTGGCAAGTTCAAAAGTGTGTTGTTAAGGATGTGGGTGAGCATTGTAATATCCTTGCCATGGCACATGTGTATGCATAGGTAGGAAGGAAGAAGGCTCTCATCTTCTTTCACTGCATTAAAATACATCTCTCTGATAGAATGAAGTGATGGCCAATGGAAAATAACAAAATGATGGAGAACTGAAGATATTCCCCAACACACAATATGTGTTCTTTGCAATGGCTGATAGTTGCTCCTAATCATTTAAGTTAATCTATAATAATTCCTAACCATGGGTATAAATGAGCACAGAAGCACAGTAATAAGGAAATCCAACATTAAGAATTATATTATTCCCTTAGAAAATGATAAACACCAAAACATGTAGCATAACAAGCACAAGGGAAAATAAAATCACAATAGCAACAAAATTTCCACTGAAAGATTTTTAAAGTTTAGTTTTCAAAGAGGAATATCAAGGAACATAAAGAAACTTAAAATTGCTGGGTAGAAAACAAAGGAAACTAATATAAGAACCAACAAACAAGCAAAGAGAAAAGGACCCTAAAACCAATGGAAAGAAACGGTTCTAAAGGAAGTTCAAACATTGTGATGACTTCAAAAAGGACATAAAATCAGTTATTGTACACATGATCAAATAGATAAGAAAACATGACAAAAATCTTAAAAGAATGTATAGGGAGAATGCCTCATCCAGTGATTAATATTAAAAAACAAATAATGTATAATCACTGAACTTTAGAACATCAACTGGTATTGTTCTTTGTGAAGAACAGAAAGAAATAAGAGTAAAAATGTGCAAAACAAGAGAGACACATGCAATAAAGACCCTCAAGTGTATGTACATACTCATGTGGAAATTCCTTAAGCTTATTGCAGAAAATTCTGTATGTACCTATTGCAATATCATATGAAACTGCTTTGACTATTGATGTAGAATAATAAAAATAGTAATAAATGAAATCATAAAATGTATTTGAGAAGTGATGGGTAATTTCCCCAAATGTATTGAAATCCAAAAAATAAATATCAAGAGCATAATGATAAATGGCTCTTAATAGACATTGATGAGAGCACATATCTGTTGTACCTAGTATATGAGTGGATTAAAGAGAATTAATGCTTACTAAGTGTAGAAAATACAATAACACCACAAGGTTAAGAATTATATTGTTAATATTATTTTTAATATTCTTCTTGCCGTTACAAATATCTTAGGTAGTTTGAAGCAGTTGCTAATCATGCCTGTTGGGATAACCAAAACCTTCTCTCCAGGAAGTACTGCTCATACAACTGCCCTGCACAATTGGGTTGAATTAATTTTCATGTGTGTGTTTGTGTGGTAACTTGATATGTGAGCTCAATCACCAGCAAACACACCCATTTTGCCTACTGATTCTTTCTTATCATTATTTAAAGAGGGGACAAAGAGCAAGTTCAAGTCTGTCATTTTTGCCCTCCAGTGGAAAGCCTTCTTCTTTTGAAGTGGTACCTTTGGACTTGACCAAAAATCTGTAAGTTACAAAGAATGATGCAAAAATTTTAGAGTGGATCACTAGGGATAATGGTGGGTGGAGTCACCCTATTTTCACACTTTGATTCCTGGACCTGGAGAAGTGCATCATGTGTTAGAAGGTGATTTAGAAAACTTGTAGCATCCTGTAGGACAGTGTCCATCCCTGCATTTGCATTGGTCACTCCACTAGCTTTGACAGTGACTGAAGTTACAGACCACAAAGTGAGGAGAGGTGAATGATAAAGCATGGACTCACTGCTGCTCAGTACTACCCATGAAATTGACTATGTGCTCAGAATTTCCATGTGAAATACCAGAATGGGGTTACAGGCATGGGAAAGTTTCTGGATAATGGCTCTGCTAGAATCACTTATCTACGTGGATTACACATCTACTGCAGAAAGAACTAATAGCTACACTGCCATCATGGAAGACATTCAGTGCCATCATTCCATCTCTTAGAGACCTGGATATTTCCCACAGAAAACAGACTCAATTTGTCCTACTGAGGGTTGAACAGAGGCTACAGTTAGGTCATGTAAGGGAGAAGAAATTCAAATGGAAGATCCCATGAAAAATCACCATCCCTACTACCATGGACACTTTATTCATGGTTCCATACAACAAAAACACATGTGGCTGAGGGAGGAATTTGCCAACACCCACAGAACCAGACCTCAATCATCTTTCCTTTAAAACACTTTCCTTATGTTTTGCCCCTTTATTTAACATTACCACAGATATATTCAGGATCTGTGCAAATACACTGGTAATTTGATAAGACTTTTTCTGCAGTAATAACTTGGGTATGATAATTGTAGTCACCTAAAACCAGGATTATAATTCTGCAAAAGTGAATGGAAATTATGGTTTTTCAGAATCTCAGCTTCTAACGCTGAACAGAGAAAGTTTCTTTTGATTCATACCCTCAAAATTAATCATGATTTTTAGTTTTAAGGTTAAAATTCTGGATTACTTAAATTATATGACTTCTCCCAATATTTGTATCATAAACTATACCAAAGGGACTTCATTATGACACTTTCATGCATGTATATATTTTGTCATATCTATCACTGCTATTAACCTTTCATGTACTACTTCACCTCCCCACTTCCCCTTCCACATTCCTAATCATCTCCTTTTAAATTCATGAGTATATTGTCTTTATTAAACCTAGAATCATTTGGATAATCAATAGATCATTGATGAAATCTTGGGGAAGGTATAAATATTACAAGAATTAAATGAAAACATAACTAAAAGGAACATGTGAGTTATTGCAAATGTAGTTCTAAGAGGGAAGTTTATAGCAATGAGTGACTACATTGAAAAATAAATTGGAGGGAGTTGAAACAATTAAATGCACTTGAAGTTCTTAGATGAACAAAAATAAGCCAACCACAAGAGAAAGTTATTGCTGGAGTCTCCATTTCTTCCAGAATTGTTACCTATGACTTGTGAGCCAGTTCTCCTTTGCAGCATCCCACAAAAAGCTCAGGTTTAAGAATTTCAGAAAAGCAATAATAATATAGAGAATATAATCATGTCAGTGTCTTTATTAATCAATTCAACTGTACATTCCTCTTTCATGCCTCACCTGAAGGCACAAGTGTGTCATTTATCTTATTCTAGAAGTCACTTTATAATCCTTTATATGTTGAAATGTTAAAAATGTAAATAAAAGTTATGAATCCATTGTACTTATGGTCAGGGATCCTTCTCAAAATAAGTACCGTATTTACAGTGAACACACAGTATCACAATCTCAATATCTATAATCAGACCATCTTTTTGTTAATAGAGTCAGGTCACTGATGAGCAGCCAAACTCAACTGGACTTTCAGGTCTCTGGAGAGATGTGGGTCCTGTGGCCAGCAGGGAGCACTGTGGAACTACACAACTACTCAGTAAGAACATTTATTCAATGGGAACTTGAACTCAGGTTGACCTCTGTGCTCCAGAGTGGAGATTCAACAGTTGTGTCCTCTCTGGTAGGGTCTCTTGATTAAGGACCTTTGCTTTGTCTCAGCTGGTGCTTCCTTCCAGAGGTTCCTCAAGGAGGAAAGCAATCCTTCAACTTTATAAGTCAGCAGAGTGGGCTGAGCTCCATTACCTGGACTCAGAAAGGGTCTAAACACTTGTGATAAAAAACACATTTGCATGATCAACCCCTCCTCTGCAAACGGTGGGAAAGAAAAGGGATTCTGGGTGGCCCAGATGCACCGTGGGGCTCAAGAGGCTGTGTACACCATGGCCTGGACTCCTCTCCTCCTCATGCTCCTCTTCCAATGCATAGGTAAGGTTAGACCTCAAAGTCTTGAGTCAGCTTTCCTATCGGTGTTTAGTCCCTTTGGTGAAGATTCCAAACAGCTTAAAATTGGTCTCTGCCTCATCACTTCTGTGTGTCTGTGTTTGCAGGTTCCCTTTCCCAGCCTGGGCTGATTCAGCCACCCTCCCTGTCTGCATCTTCTGGAAAAATAGCCAGACTCACCTGTACCCTGAGCGATGGCTTCAGTCTTGAAAATTATGGCATATCTTTGTATCAGCAAAAGCCTGGGAACTCTCTTCAGTATCTGCTGTACTACTACACAGACTTTGATAAGAACCAGGGCTCTGGGGTCCCCAGTCGCTTCTCTGGATCCAATGATGAGTCAGGCAATGCAGGGATTTTGCTCATCTCTGGGCTTCAGCCTGAGGATGAGGCTGAATACTATTGTGCTACAGCTCATGGCAGTGGAAGCAGTTTTCGTTTCCCACAGTGCTTCAGATAATAAAGAAGTGAAACAAAAATCTATGGATCCCCAGATCTTGTGCTGAGAATCTGTCCAGTGAGAAGCTACTGTGGAGATTTCTGAAGGGAGAATTCTCTGCCATCAAACAAGTCCATAAACAGGAGACAAACATACAGGTTATGCCTATACTCTGAGAGAAAGTAGAGTATCTCAGGCAGGCACTGACTGATAAGGAAATACAGCCCCATGCCCATCCCCATAGTGTCTGGCACAAATTAATGAAGTAGATTCTACAGTCAACATGTGCAAATACTGACTGAAGAAACCATGTTCTTCGGCAAGTGAACTGCCTTGACATAGTCCACAAGTCATGAACTTTGTGTTACTAGTGACACATCCATACCTTATAAAGTGACCTTCATCCCAATCACACTCATACTTTCCTCCTTCTGAATCATTCACCTGTCCAGTGGAAAATCTTACAGATTGTCACTGATGATGTCTCTGAGACTCACCCTTTTAATCTGCCATCTGCTCTTGCATCCTCCAGGATGCAAGAGATCAGGAGGCACATTTTTACCTTTCTCCATAAGGTTATAAAGAAAAGTCAAAATGTTTCCCTTCTCCAGGCTTCACACGAAGGGAGAATGATCACCAGCAATCAGACGAGCACCCAAACCTTCATAATCTCATTCTTTTCCTTATTCCCATCTCTAGATTTCTGTTCTCTCAACCCTTACTCAGTCCCTTTAATAGGAGAACATAATTATATCATTTCCAAAAAATGGCCTGTTTATGAAGTTGTTGAGTATTTGTACATGGAAACTATTGCATCTTTCTTTTTTCCTACATTTTTCTTTATCTTCTTTCCATTTTGCCCCTTCTGAATGCATTGGTTCCTTACCCAAGGTGAGTCCTGAAGTAATCAACACAGAAAGAATGGCAGCATCACTCACACAGCCCAATAGTTTCCCTCGTTCTTAGAGTTCCTACTTCCTAAGAATTTGTGAGACATAACCTCAGCCACAACCAAGGTTGGGCTGAGGTCCCATTCTTTGGTCCTTTCTGAAAGAAATAGTAAAAGTAAAAGGTCTCCCTGGCCACCTTCTGTGAGATATCTGGGCACCTCATACTACATGGAGCGGTTTTCTGATGATTGCACCTTTTAACATTTGATTAATTGAGTGCATATTCCTCACCCTATCTGAAATGAAACATATTTCAAAGTGAATGACAATCGAGACAGTCAAGTTTTTGTGCCTTGCTCCAGTGTTGCATTTGTGTAGAGAGCAGGCTATCATGGTGTGAGTAGGAATGAGAGAGATAGGGAGAACTGGGGTTCATGCTCTGTTTCACAGAAAAGGATCTGTAGGATCAAGTGCATTCTCTTTCCCTATCTCTTTCTCTCTCTCTCTCCCTCTGTGCGTTTGTGTGTGTGTTTGTTTTGTCTCTTCCTATCGTTGGCTCTGTATCTGTCTCTTAGTGTGACTGTTGATCTCTCTTTGGTCACTCTCATCACACACACACACACACACACATACACACACACACACACACACACACAAGCACAAACCCACACATGCACACATACATTTTGCTACTGATTATATTATCCTGGATTGTGCAGTCTCTGGCTCCCTCTGTCCTTGTAAGAGTTGGGAGTCAGTTGGGCTGACCCTACTATCCTCAGCCAGGGAATACTCAAGAGGAAGAATTTCCAACTGCAGGAACACCAGTAATAATGAGAGTAACTGTCCTGTTATTAGGGCCAGATAAAAAATGTTCTGAATATATGCTCAATTGGGATGAACTTGATGTTTAGGAAGCCAAGGTTGAGTTTCTGTTTCCAACCAGCAGTTGAGTCTCCAGTCATTGGGTGAGGCAGATGGTGGCATTTATTCACTGGTGACAGCAGCCTCTGTGCTAATCCACATTGCTCAGACTCAGGGGGTAGACATGAGACATGCCCTTTGATGTGCTTCCAGAGACTGACTGCCACTCTGAGTCACTACCTATATATCTGTAGTGAGATCAACCCATGGTGAAAAGTTTCTGTCTATACCCAAAGCCCTTATGACCCCTGGATGCAGATCCTCTTCTCGACGTTTCCATGTCTCAGAATTCTTGTACATAAATTTCTGTATATACTTGGCTTTATGGTGATCATTTATCTAGTTATGATGTATCTGTTTCTCCATCTTGTAAAGGTTATACACTGGGAAGGGGCAGTAGCTGTGCCCACCTCAGACAAGTCTGTCAAAAAATTGCCTAGGTCTTGGGAGCTTTGTGTGTTTCCCTAGGGTGTCTGCCCACATCTATTTCCCTGTTCTTTTCTGCTCATATATTCACAAAGCCACTTTCATTTTCCCTAACTCTGAATTTTTCAATGTGAAATTACTTCTTTTTTTTATTCATATGTGCATACAATGTTTGGGTCATTTCTACTCCCTTCCCTTCCCTCCGCCCTCTCTCCCCCACCCAACCCCTTCACTACCTGGCAGAAACTATTTTGCCCTTATCTCTAATTTTGTTAAAGAGAGTAGTATAGCAATAATAGGAAGGACAAAGTGTTTTTGCTAGTTGAGATAAGGATAGCTATACAGGGAGTTGACTCGCATTGATTTTCTGTGCATGTGTGTTACTTTCTAGGTTAATTCTTCTTGACCTTACCTTTTCTCTAATTCCTGGTTCCCTTCTCCTATTGGCCTCAGTTGCTTTAAAGTATCTGCTTTACTTTCTCTGCATTGAGGGCAACAAATACTATCTAGTTTTTTAGGTGTCTTAGGTATCCTCATACCTCCCTTGTGTGCTCTCGCTTTATCGTGTGATCAAAGTCCAATCCCCTTGTTGTGTTTGCCCTTGATCTAATGTCCGCATATGAGGGAGAACATACGATTTTTGGTCTTTTGGGCCAGGCTAACCTCACTCAGAATGATGTTCTCCAATTCCATTCATTTACTGGTGAATGATAACATTTTGTTCTTCTTCATGGCTGCATAAAATTCCATTGTGTATAGATACCACATTTTCTTAATCCATTCCTCAGTAGTGGGGCATCTTGGTTGTTTCCATAACTTAGCTATCGTGAATAGTGCTGCAAAAAACATGGGTGTTCAGGTGCCTCTGGAGTAACCTGTGTCACAGACTTTTGGGTATATCCCCAAGAGTGGTATTGCTGGATCATATGATAGATCAATGTTTAGCTTTTTAAGTAGCCTCCAAATTTTTTTCCAGAGTGGTTGTACTAGTTTACATTCCCACCAGCAGTGTAAGAGTGCTGCTTTTTCCCTGTATCCTTGCCAACACCTGTTGTTAGTGGTATTGCTATTGATGGCTATGTGGAATTACTTCTTTCAAGTAGATTTTCAATACCATAAGACAGGTAGGTATGCATTTCATGGGCAGAGCCTCTCATGAGCTATACTGGTACCTGTGAGTTATTTACTATGTGCAGGCCCAAATCCATGACACAAAACACCAGAATCCACAAAAAGTTATTTTAGAAAATGTCATATATGATACACAAACAAAAGTAGAATGCATGTGTTTTCAATTATTTTTTCTATTTTTGTTAGCTGTATTTCCATCAATAGATTTCAAGCAGCATAGTTTTGTATGAAAAGAACTGTGGTGAGTTTGATTTCATTTTTGGAATTGCATTATGTATGTATGTGTGTAGGTATATGCTAGGAATTATCTGTGTTTAGCATACTCTCTACAACTGTGCTTATCCCCTGTTCCAGGATTGAGTTTTTAAACAAATTACATTAAGGTGGAAATTATATAAAATAATGTAGATTCACTTTAGTCACTCAATTTGTAAGTTACAACACTTACAAAGTTTATTTACATATATATAATATTTATGACCACAAACTATCCATAGCATTCTCTAGTTCTATTTCCACAGAGAGGTACACAGACAGGAAAGTGAGACACACACCTTAACACCCGCAGGGTCTCTTCCTCGGCACCTGTGTATTTCTAGATGATGAGGGTCCCTTTCCCACGCTGTGATTACATAGCCATACTCCCTCTCTGTATCTCTAGAAGTAGCTCCAGACTCACCTAAACCCTGAGCAGAGACATCAATGCTGGTTGGTACTACATATACTGGTACCAGCAGAGGCCAGTGACCACATCCACAGTATTTCCTGAGCCACTATTCATATTCAGATAAGCATCAGGCTGCTAGGGAACCTACCTACTTCTTTGGATCCCCAGACACCTCAACCAATGCTCATCTCTGATTTGCAACCTAAAGTTGACTGCTACTCTCAGATCTGGCAGAATAGGTCTTCTCATAGTGACACAGACAGGTAGGGAAGTGGGAGAGAGACCCTACCTGCTGAGAGTCTTGTACTATGACACTTGTCCAATTTTAAGTGATCTTATTCAACATAGTTTTGGAATTGCTAGCCAAAGCAGTAAGAGAGTAAGAAAAAATAGAAATTCCAGTGGGAAAGTAACAAAGTAAATTATACCTCATTACAGATAATGTGATCAAATACCTAAAAGACCCAAGAAACTAACAGGCATCATAAATACCTTTATCAAAGCTGCAGGATACAAAATTAATATACAAAGACAAGTTAATTTTCTACATAGCAATGAACAGAGAAAGAAGATAGAAAATAATTTCGTTTATTACAGCATCAAAAAATAAAATATCTAGGAATGAACTGAACAAAAGAAGTGAAAGACCTCTATATGAAAATTACAAAACATCAAAGAAAGAAATTTAAGAATACATCAGAAGATGGAAGGTTTTCCCAAGTTCAGGGAATGGCAGAATTTATATTGTGAAAATGGCTGTAGTAACAAAAGCAATCTATATATCCAATGTAATTCCCATCAGTATTTTGGTAACATTCATCATAGAGATTGAAAAAGCAAACCTACAGTTCATATGGAAGCACAAAAGATCATAAAGAGCAGAGGAAATCATGACCTAACAGAGACTGAGTTGTTTAGTCTGCTCTCTTACCCCACTAGGAATTTTTCAACAATCCGAGATGTATGAGATGTATGTGTGACTT